GCGTTGGCCGCGGGCTGGGCCCGCGGTGGTGATCGACCACGACGAAGGCCTGAGGGTGGACAGCTCCGCCAGGACGGGTCTCGCGATGGCGAGCACGACTACGCAGAATGGGACGTATCAGATTTGGTCGCTGAAGGACATCAGAAGCCGTGAGAGCTTCAATGGCGGCCAGGATGAGTTTGAGAGTTCCTTTTGCACCTTGGAGGCAGAGGTGACTGAGATGGGGTGGAAGTCACTCTATGACGCTGCGGTGGGCCATGCGGGTCCGATAGCTGCAGAAGACATCCAGAACGCGGAGACGCTGGAGCTGAGCAGGAACTTGAGCACGTTCCTGGCGATGAAGATGCGCGGGGAAGCGCAGACGATGACTAAGTTGGCTGGTGCTGGCAATGGGTTCGAGGCTCTTCGGCAGATCTATGCTGACTACCGCCCGAGTGGCGGCGCGTCGGAGCACAGCCTGCTGACGACGATCGTGCAGCCGAAGTGGTGGACGAGTGATGATCACTCGAGGCGAAGCTTCGCGGAGGTGCTGCACGACTGGGATCATCTCGTTACTCAGTATGAGTTGGCGAGCCACGACGCGATCAGCGACAGGCTCAAGTGTGCGACCATCTTGGGCTACGCGCCGCTGCCGATCAGGAAGGTGCTCGACGGAGCCAGCCAGGAGGTCAGAGAGAACTATGCGGTGATGCGGACAAGGATTCGTGAGCACTGCATGGAGAGAAACGCCAACGCTTTCGTCCCCAGGCCACCTGAGGCGGGAGGAGGAGGCCAGGCGCCGATGCAGGTGGATGCGGTCGGCCAGGTTGACGCGACCGGGTTCGTCAAGCCGCGCTGCAACCTCTGCAAGAAGCTCGGCCACACTGCCGACAGGTGCTGGTTCAAGGGCAAAGGTGGCGCCAAGGGTGACTCCAAGGGTGGCAAAGGTGATGGCGGCAAGGGTGGATCGAAGGGCGGACGAGGTGGCAACGCGCCGCCGAGTGACAAGGATAAGACATGCCACTACTGCAAGAAGAAAGGGCACATCAAGATCAACTGCTTCAAGTTCAAGAAAGATCAGGAGGACAGAAAGAAGGGCACTGTCAGCATTGTCGAGAAGGAGGCCGCCGAAGTCAACGTGATGGTCGTGCCCAGCGAAGACGACTCTGACGAGTGCGGCTTCTGCATGGCGCTGGAGGGCGACTACGTCGACCATGACTCGGACGGGCACCAGGTGGACATCGTCGACCACGACTCAGACGGGCACCAGGTGGACTACGTCGACCACGAGTCGAACGGGCACCAGGTGGGCTACGACGGCTGCGAGAGCTTCGGAGACCAGCTGGAGGACGAGTTCGCGTGCCACGCCTGCGACGACACGATCATCGTGGCCATTGGCGACGGGGCCAAGCTCAAGGAGTACGATGTTGACGACTCTCTGATGCTGGATGGTGGCGCTGACGAGCACTGTGCACGACGAAGCTTTGCGAGACATAGCGCAGTGGAGCCTGCGTCGACCAAGCTGATCGCCGCCCAGAAGCAGAAGATCTCTCTTGATGGTGAGGCCATGGTTCCCTTCACGATGGGGGGTCGAGTGGTTTGCAAGGCCAACTTCAAGGTCGGCCCCTTCGCTCGGAACCTACTCGGCACTGGCAGAGTCTATGATGCAGGTTTTGACGTGGTCTACTCGCACAACGACGGGTGCTACGTTGGTTACTCCAAGCCTGACGGGGGGTATGTCAAGATCCCGATGGCGCGGAGAAAGAACGCGTTCGGGGTCCCTGCCAGCGTGCGCAAGGACCTCGAGGACGCCAAGGATGTGGTCAAGGAGACCAAGCGGATGCTAGGCCGCTATCCCGACCAGCAGTCGGGCATCGTCGCCGCCAACGAGGACGCGGTGATGAAGGGCGAGGGGGCCGTCCAGGCTGATGAAGCTGCAGCGCCTGTGCCTATGGCAGAGGGTGCTGGGTCGGCTTCGTCGGGGTCTGGAGGTGGCGCCCCCACCTCGTCCCCACCGGCGGCAGCCAGCCCGCCTGGGGGCCAGCCAGGGCCAGGGGCGGCCCCCCGCCCTGTGAGGGACCCTGAGGGAGCAGAGCTCGGGTCAGGTTCTCGAGTCGACCTGCTCCGACAGCGTTTGAAGGAGCTCGGGGCCGCGATCTACGGCACGAAGGAGCAGCTGTGGGCGAGGCTCAAGCATGCTGAGCTCAAGCACAAGCAGGACTTTGACTTCAAGAAGGTGGTCGGGTAGCGTTACCAACAGCAAGTGGACGGCCAGCCTGTGACAGAGGCCAAGGTCGTCGAGGCTCCCTACGCCCCAACGGAGGTTGAGAAGGAGCAACACGAGGCTGCTGGTCACGCGGTGATCAAGAAGTGGTGCCCGGCGCGCGTGTTCGGACTGGGGCCCGAGGGCCCGCGCGTCAAGCAGCCCGTGTACGGCGGCAATGTCAGAGAGGAGCTGATTTTCTTCGACTGGGCCTTCAACGGCACTAAGGACACGGACAATCTCTGCGACGAGGCCGACAAGGGTCTCGGGACATCTCTTGTGGCTGCAGACCGCAGCACTGGTCTGCTCTACGGCAGCGCGCTGGGGAGCAAGGCCGCAGACGATCACGCCGTGAAGCAGCTCATGGGGTTCATGAAGCAGCTCGCGTACCAGAAGCCAGAGTTCAGGTGCGACACTGAGCCTGCGGTGAAGGCTCTCCAGGATAAGGTCGTGAATGCGAGGAACGAGGAGAACCTGGAGACCAGAGTTTCGCAGGGTCGCACGCAGGATAGCAAGTCGATGGGCTTCATCGAGACGCGGATCCGCTGGTGGCGAGGCCGCTTGAAGGCCAATAGGATGCAGGTGGAGATGAACTACGGTATCAAGCTCACGCCGCGCTCCCCTTTCTGGCCGTTCCTCGCCCACCACGCTGCAAACGCGACGAACTGGTACTCGCGAGGTGCTGACGGCTACGCGGCTCACTTCGCGGTCTACGGCGTGAACTACACTCGAGCAGTGGTTCCCTTTGTTGAGACGGTGATGGCAAGGGTTCCAGTCAGCAAGACGGGCCAGCGACGTTCGATGGGAGGTTTGGTTCCCAGGCTGACCAAGGCGGACACTGCCTGGGTCAAGGGGATCCGGGTCGGCAAGACGACCAACAACGACGAGCACATCATCCTGGATTGCTGGCAAGGTGACCTGCAGGACCGTCCGCAGGATGCCCAAGGGGAAGCGCCGCGACAAGGAGCTCCTCCTGAAGGTCTGTGGCGAGCCCTGGAGGGAGAAGGTCGCGCACATGCCTCGGTCCCTCGTCATGGGCGGCGGCAGGGGCGAGGTCGTGCCGACGCCGCTGGAGGCCGTGGGCACGGAGGCCGAGGGGGCAGCTCCAGGAGCTCCCCCGTCTGGGGCAGAAGGCCAGGAGGGCCGAGCCCGTCCTGGCCCCGAGGGTCCTGAGTCGGGGACGAACCCTCCTGATCTCCAGGCCTCAGCTGAGCACCCGCCAGACTCTCGTCCTCAGGCCCCAGAGGCCCAGGCTCCAGAGGCCCCGCCGAGACCTGGCGGAGAGGCGGGAAGCTCTGCAGGAGCTGGCGGAAGCTCGGGGAGTGGACCAAGAGGCCCCGAGGGGGCTGGTGCCAGTGGTGAGCCGGACGCCCCGATGCCGGCTGCTGCGAGCTCCTCGGGTACGGCAACCAGAGCGAGATCACCGAACAACGATGCCGTCCTGGGGTGGCGCTAGGCCACGAGGGGACGCTACGGGGACCCAATCGTCGGGGCCATCGAGGACATCAGCGAGACGCTGGACTACAAGGCCCTCCTGACGGCCAAGGAGCTCACGCACTGGGACAGCAGCGGCTTCCCCCAGGAGGAGGCGGCTGAGGCGCTCGACAAGGGCTTGAAGCTCTGCGATGAGTTCGGCATCTACTCAGTTCATCCTCGAGCGGCCTCCGACGGCAAGAAGCAGGTTGATACCAAGTGGGAGAAGAAGGACCGAGCTGGGGTTCTTAAGTACAGGTTGGTGGGCAGGGAGTTTGCCTGGCTCGAGGGGCGTGGTGATCTTTGCGCTCCTGGGTCGACGTCCCTGACTAGCCGCATCATTGACTTCCTCAGCCAGAAGGACGATGATGATCCAGATGATCGGCTCGTGGTTGCGGTTGGCGACGTCTCGAGTGCGTACTATCAGGTTCCTGAGAAGGAGGAGTTCTACTGCGACCCGCCGCCTGAGTGGCTAGCTGCAAGGGCCAAGGCTGGCCTTAGCACGGACGTGGTCTGGAAGCTCGAGAAGCAGCTGCCTGGCAGGAGAGCTGCGAGCAGGGAGTGGATCAGCTTCGCGGCTGAGCGCCTCCTGGGGTGCGGCTTCGAGCGCAACGAGGCCTGCCCGCAGTTCTACCGCAAGCCGATGGCGAGGCTGGGCCTGGAGCTGCACATGGACGACTTCTACTGCACGGGCCGCAAGAGCGAGGTCGAGAGCTTCCTTCCGATGATCAGGGCCAAGCTGAAGTTGAAGGACAGCGACGTCGTCACCGAGGGCCGCTTTGAGTACCTCACGCGGGCGAGGATCAAGACGGACTAGGGCATCTTCGTGCAGCCTCACGAGAAGCACGCCCTCAACATCATCACGGAGCTAGGGCTGAAGGGTGCGAATCCAGTCAAGACTCCAGACTTGGGATCGGAAGAGGTCCTGGAGCACTCCCCGCCACTCGTCGACAAGCAGATCGCGAGGTATCGTTCGCGTGTGGGGAGTGGCCTCTACCTGGCGCAAGATCGCACCGACATCCAGCGGGCCGTGGGGATGCTGGCATCCGGCCTGGCGGCGCCTACGGAGCTCTCTTGGAAAAGGCTGCTTCGCCTTGGGCGCTACTTGGTTGGGGCATCCGACCTGGGCGTGTTCAGACGTGGGGATCTACAAGAAGGGCGTGGTCCACTTGAGGGGTTTCTCCGACAGCGACCACGGAGGCAAGGAGGCGAAGCGCAAGAGCACGACCTGTGGGGTTATGTTTGCTGATGGTGTGGCGTTGGCGACGCTAGTGAGGAGGCAGGACTTGATTGCAGTGAGTTCTGGAGAGAGCGAGTTCTACGCGCTGAGCACTGTGGCCGTGGACAGCACGATGCTCAGGGATCTGCTCACATGGTTCGGGTTTCGTGTCGAGTGGACCTTGGGGGCCGACTCTTCAGCAGCTCGCGCGATGTCTTTGAGGCAGGGCGTCGGGGAGGTCCACCACCTGGACACGCGGGCACTCTGGGCCCAGCAGGCTACGCGCATGCTTGGGCTGAAGGTGCTGAAGTGCAAGAGTACCGAGAATCCCAGTGACATTGGGACGAAGCCACGCACGTCCGAGGTTCATGAGCAGCTCTGCAAGCAAGTGGGACTACGCCGACTCAACGGAGATTTGGGAGCTGTTCGTGAGGTCGAGGTTAACGCTGTGATCGAGAAGCTGGGGCGGGCAGCTCGTGGCACGCAGTGCGGTGGGAGGGTCGCGAGCAGCCCGGGCCTCAACGCAGCGATCCTGGCCTTGTGTATGGCCCTGCAAGCTTAACGGGGAGAAGGGGTTCAAGATGGAGGTGGTGCTGGAGGCACCGATGATGACAACCGCGACTTCATGATCGTGCCCGTGATGCTGCTGCTCAGCTGGGTTTTCACCTTTGTGCTGGGCTTCCTGACGGCAATCTGGGCACTGTGGGGGCGCATTGCCCCTGCGCCTCAGGCGTCCAGGGCGAGCTCCAAATCAGGGGGAGAGTGCGACCCAGAGGTCATGGCGAAGATGATGAACGGGAGCTGGGTGTCCCATCTGCCTGAGGCCGACAGGGTGGTGCATCAGAGCAGGCGGTGCCGAGCTCTCGAGGGAGTTCTCTACGTGGAGCGGCGCCTGGTGGCGCGCCGCAGGTGTGAGGTGTGCTTCGCGAAGAAGCATGAGTGAGTGAGCCTTGAGCCTTCGCCCGAGCGGGCGCTCGCGGTCAGCGCGAGCTTGCCCGCTGCCAGGACTGCTCGCGGGTGTTCGCGAGCGGCATGAGGTCGGAGAAGGACCGACCGCATCGTTCTGAGGATGAAGAGAGGAGTCCCTTGCGAGGGGGTGTAGAGATTCTTTGATTTTTTTTCAGGGGCCTCCTTCAGACCCGAGGTCCCTGGGGGCCCCGCCAGCTGCTGCCGCTCCGCTGGTGTTCAGGCTCAGAGAGTTTCGAGCGCGGAGGCCCGCCCGCGCTCCCGAGGAGGAGAAAACAGTTGCACTACCAGTTGAGAGGGTCGACGCAGTAAGCATAACACTATTGCTTATTTACTTGTGTTATCACGTACGTCCACAGATAGAAGAACTATTAGTTATATGTTATATATACAGAGAGGGTGATATATATATATATACATATTTATACAATTATACATACCAATAGAGAGAGATGCAGACCGGGAGAGAGAGAGAAAGAGAGAGAGAGAGAGAGACAGAGAGAGAGAGAGAGCGGGAGAGGGAGCGATAGAGGCAGAGGCACTTGCAGAGAGATGGCGTACACACATCTGCATATACGTACCGTACACAGAGAGGGAACGAGAGAGAGAGAGAGAGAGAGATAGCGCGAGACAACCGAATATATAAGTTGCGACCACGATCGGAAGCAGAGAGTGCATGGTAGAGGGTAGAGGGTATTTGCCAGAGAGTATGGAGCAGCATTGCGGGGGGAAAGAGAGAGGGAGAGAGAGAGAGAGAGAGAGAGAGAGAGAGAAAAAAAGAGAGAGAGAAAGAGAGAGAGAAGAGAGAGAGAGCGAGAGAGAGAGAGAGAGAGCGAGAGATAGAGAGAGAGAGAGTGAGCGTGAGTGAGAGAGAGAGAGAGAGAGAAAACGAAGAGAGAGAGAGAGAGATATTGTAAGAGAGAGAGAGAGAGATAGATAGAGAGAGAGAGAAGAGAAAGCTCTCTCTCTATATATATAGATAGAGAGAGAGAGAGAGAGAGAGAGAGAGAGAGAGAGAGAGAGAGAGAGAGAGAGAAAGAGAGAGAGAGAAAGACATAGAGAGATAGAGAGAGAGAGAGAGAGAGAGAGATATAGGGCAGGCGTGGAAGACATCATGATCTTGTCGTGCGCTCCACTGATTGGGAATTTCTGGTGTAAGATATTCTCTGGCGCTGAAGGGGTTCTTCCTGGGCAGATCAGGATTTGGGGACAGTGCTGAGCCGATTTCAGTCGGCGGCTGTGTTCCTGGGTCCCGTTTCCGGGTCTTGCAGAAAGTTTTCCGCCGATTTTGGTGGGCGGCCGGGTTCCCAGTATCCCCAGAGTCGAGGCTAGAGAGTATACAGTGCAGAGTCGAGTGCACGGAGCAGGGCGCAGAGCAGTGCAAAAAGCAGAGATCATAGAGAAGAGAGCGAGGGTGGAGAGGCGTGAGCAGATGTTGAGGGTGGAGAGTATAACATGGAGAGCAGGGTGTGGAGGGCAGAGTCGGGTGGTGTAGAGAGGGCAGAGTCGAGAGTAGAAGGTCACGTGTAGAGGGTAGACAGCAGGGAGCAGAAATCAGACAGCCCAGAGCAGGGAAAGCAGGACCGCATTCGAAATCTGCTGCTCTGGCCTGACACCAGCGCGCTGCCTTTGAAGTCTACTTGCGAGCAACTGGTTTGGTTTTTAGGCAGTGTATTGCCTTCCTTGCGCTTGCCTACGTGGAGCGTTTCATAAAGAACCTCGCTTTCGGGGCATCCTAGTCCTCGGCGGAAGCCGGCGGAAGGCCAGCGGAAGGCGTGGGAAGTACAATGGCGACGGCGGGGCGGGAGTGCCGTTGACACGCCACAGTTTGTCTGGCTTCTGGGTTTTCGTAGCCTGCCACGCATAGGCACGCACTCGGCACTCGGCTGCACTGCCCTCTCTCTGTGCCCAGGAGGAGGAGGAGGAGGAGGAGGAGGAGGAGGAGGAGGAGGAGGAGAGGAGAGGAGGATGAGGAGAGGAGGGATGAGGAGGAGGAGGAGGAGGAGGAGGAGGGAGGAGGAGGAGGAGGAGGAGGAGGAGGAGGAGGAGGAGGAGGAGGAGGAGGAGGAGGAGAGGAGGAGGGGAGGAGGAGAGGCGGAGGAGGAGGAGGAGGAGGGGGAGGAGGAGGAGGAGGAGGTAGGAGGAGGGAGAGGAGGAGGAGGAGGAGAGAGGGGAGGAGGCGGAGGAGGGAGGCGGAGGAGGAGGGGGCGAGGGGGGGGGAGGGGAGGGGAGGGGAGTGGGCGGGGCAGGGAGGGGAAGGGGAGGGAGGTAGGGAGGGAGGGGGGAGGGAGGAGGGCGGGAGGGAGGGAGGGGGGAGGGAGGAGGAGGCGGGAGGCGGAGGGAGGAGGAGGAGCAGGAGGACAACAAGCACCTGACCTCCCCTGAATGACCTTTCCGTGCGTGGCTTTCGGGGGTCGAAGGGGGGCAAACCCAAGCACGCGGGCCGCTGCTGCCGCACCGAACGCAGCGATCGGCAGGCCGCGAACCAAAAAAAAGGTCGCTGTTGCCCAGGGCCGCTCCTGCGTGTAGCTGCTTTCTGGCCCCCGCGCGCGGCCGCACCATCCCGCATCCGCGCCTTCGTGAATGTGATGTGCGCCTGAGGGGCTCCCCCTGCTCCTCTTCCTCCCCTTCCTCTCCTTCCGCCTCTTCCACCTTCCTCCTTCTCCTCCTCCTCTCCCTTCTTCTCCTCCTCCTCCTCCTCCTCCTCCCCCTCCTCCTCCGCCTCCTCCGCCTCCTCCTCTTCCTCTTCCTCCTCCTCCTCCTCCTCCTCCTCCTCCTCCTCCTCTACCTCCTCCACCTCCTCCACCTCCTCCTTCCTCCTCTCCTCCTCCTCCCCTCATCCTCCTCCGCCCCCCCTCCTCCACCTCCTCCTCCTCCTCCTCCTCCTCCTCTCCCACCTCCTCCTCCTCCTCCTCCCTCCTCCTTATCCACCTACCCTCCTCTCCTCCTCCTCCTCCTCCTCCTCCTCCCTCTCCCCCTCCTCCTCCCCCCTCCTCCTCCTCCACCTCCTTCTCCTCCGCCTCCTCCTCATCCTCCTCCTCCTCCTCCTCACTCCTCCTCCTCCTCCTCCTCTAACCAATCCTCCTCCTCCTCCTCCTCCTCCCCTCCTCCTCCCCTACCCCCCTCCTCCTGCTCCTCCTCCTCCCTCCTCCGTCCTCCTCCTCCTCCCCTGCATGGGATGTTCTGCCTCCTACCCCCCCCTCCTCCTCCTCCTCCTCCTCCTCCCTCCTCCTCCTCCTCCTCCTCCTCCTCCTCCTCTTCCTCCTCCGCCTCCGCCCCTCCTCCTCCTCCTTATGCCGCCGCCTCCTCCCCTCCTCCTCCTCCCCTCCCCTCCTCCTTTCCTCCATCCTCCTCCTCCTCCTCCTCCTCCCTCTCCTCCTCCTCCTCCTCCTCCTCCTGCCTCCTCCTCCCTCTCCTCCTCCTCCTCTCTCCTCCTCCTCCTCCTCCCCCCCTCCTCCTCCTCCTCCTCCTCTCCTCCTCCTCCTCCTCCTCCTCTTCCTCCTCCTCACCACCTCCTCCTTCTCCTCTTTCTCCTCCCTCCTCTCCTTCCCCCCTTATCCTCCTCCTCCTCCTCCTCCTCCTCCTCCCCCTCCTCCCTCTCTTCCACCTCCTCCCTCCTCCTCCTGATTCCTCTACCTCCTCCTCCTCCTCCTCCTCCTCCTCCTCCTCCTCCTCTTCCTGGATGGGATGTGCTCCTCCTCTTTCTCTCCTTCCTCCCCAGGCGCTCCCACTGCCTCGCCTTGCACAGTGCCAGCAGCAGCCGAGGGACGCGTGGAGGCGCCCACGGGATCGCGTCTGCCTTAGTTAAAAGATAGCTTGTGGACGACTTTCGATTATTTTCAATTTGTTTGAGCATTTTCGATCATTTTCATTTTTCCTTCCAAGCCCGCCTGTAGCAGGACATGCCCTAGCCTAACGATCGTTCAAGGTTGAATCATCCACGCGGTCTCAGAAACCAGCGCCCGAGTCGTCACGCCACGAAACTGTCGTAAGCGTTTTTTCCGATGCATATGTTTGACTATTTTGGATTGTTCGTGCAAGATCCGCCCGTAGGAGGACATGCCCGACCTAACCTTAGCCCGTATGCGGCGAGGTCGAGCCGAACTGCTGCCGAGGTCGGTCGGTCGCTCGCTCTCCTTCCTGCCTGCCGCCTTGCTCTCGAGTGGGGACATCGTCAACCGTGTCCGCACGCGGTCGTGCCGCTGGCCCGGAAGTGCGGCTGCTGCCCGCGGCCCCCTTCCGCGCACTCCGCTCCCCCGCCCCGCGCCGCAGACCCCCGTGTTGCCCAACGATGTCGTCAGCAACGTGCCCGACATCACGTCCACCGACCTCTCGGGCCAGGACCGCCGGCCGGGCGGGGCTGCCGCAGGGCGGAGGAGGGAAGGGTGGCCAAGGAAGGAATCCTTGTCGTGGTCCTCCTCCTCCCCCTCGTCCCCCGCCCCGTCACCGCTTTCCCCCTCCTCCCCCTCCCCTCCGCTGCCAGCCCTGCCACAGTGCTGGTGTTCTAGGGAGCAGAAGGGGGGGGGGCGGGGGGGGGATAATTTTGCACCTTGGCCGCAGGGGACTGGCATTCCGCGCGGATCTGGGCGCAGGCGTGGCGCCGAGGCGGGGAAAACTTGCCGAGAGGCGAGCGGGCGGCCTGATGGGGGTCTTGCCTGTTTTTTTTTGGTCCCCAGGGGACACTTCCCGGGCCCTGGGTCTGCAACGCGCGAGTCGGGAGGAATCGGGCCGCTAGCATGGATTGGGGATCCGTGGATCTGGCGCGTGGGCGCCAAATCCACGGATCGGGGAAGGCACCCCGAAACACATGAGGCCACTACGGCCCGATCTGGCGACGGAGCACGCCGATCATGTACGGAAGCAGCTCCCGTCGCCAGTTCATGCGTCGCTAATCCATGCTGGCGTTTCCTCGAGCGAAGAAGTGGTCCCGAGGGAACTGCCCAGGACCCGTGGCCCTCGGGGCCCGGTTGCTTCCTGCCCATCGGTGTGGGAGGGGCTCGGCGTTCTGCAGGCCTGTGCCTCGTCTCCCCCCAGCGGGAGCATCAACGCACCCCAGCGTCCACGAGATTCCGTCGCCTGCTTCCGAGCAGGCTGCCAAGGCCAGTGCATCTGGGCAGGGCAAGACCCTGTCGCTCGCCCTCCTCGGGGTTGGCCGGTCCCTGGCGAGGCGACAGGGAGGCCCCCTCCACAGCGGACCTTCCCCCGTGGAGGAGGAGGAGGAGGAGGAGGAGGAGGAGGAGGAGGAGGAGGAGGAGGGAGGAGGAGGACGGAGGAGGAGGAGGAGGAGGAGGAGGAGGAGGAGGAGGAGGAGGAGGAGGAGGAGGAGGAGGAGGAGGAGGGTCGAGGGGCCGCTTTCCCAGATGGTGCCACAGCCTGCCCATCGGAAGCAACTCTGGTCTTCTTGGAGCGAGGCCGGGCGGCGGGGCGGGAGGAAGGGGGGGTACGGTTAAGTCGGGCCTGTCCCTCTGCAGGGGGCAAGTTCAAAAATAGTCAAAAATTGCCAGGGGACGATTTTGTTTTGAGTCTTTTTGATTATTTGATCGCTTCGCTCATTCCGCTGGCCCATATTGCCTCGCCGCTGTCGTTTGTCGGGGTGTTGTTGTCAATGCGGTGCGGTTGGGCGGCTGCCATTTTTCGGAGGCGGTGGGTGGCGGGTCAGAGGCCTCACGGATGTTGGTTGGGCTCTCGTGGTTGGCCTCTTAGGGGCCTTTTGGGAGGCAGTTTTGAGGCCTCTTGGGGGCCGTGTTGGGGCCTCTTGGGGCCTCTTGGGGGCCTCTTGGGGCTTCTTGGAGAGCCTCTTGGGGGCCCCTTGGGGCCTCTTGGGGGGCCTCTTGGGACCTGAGGCTTGACTTTTCGGTTCCTTGTCACCTTCTTGGGCCCCTCTTGGGGCCGTTTTGGGGCTCTCTTGGGCTGTCTTGGGCTGTCTTGGGCGCCTCTTGGGCTGTCTTGGGGCCATCTTGGGCCGTCTTGGGGCTATCTTGGGGTCTTCGTGGACCCTCTTGGGGCGATCTTGGGAGCCTCTTAGGCCATCTTGGAGCGTCGGGAAGCCGAAAAAGGAGAAACGCGAACATGCATCCAAAACCAAAGGGAAATCAATGAATTTTGCCTCTTGAGGCCCTCTTGGGAGTGCTTTTGGAGGCATTTGGGGGCGTCTGGAGGCCATGGTGGGCGTCTTGGAGCGATCTTGTGGCATCGTCGGCCGATCTTTCGAGGACTCCAAGGGCTTTTTAGACCGTCTGGGCGCTTTCTTGAGGCCGTCTTGGGCGCCTCTTGGGCCGTCTGGGGGGCCTCCGGCATCTCTGACGGGCACTTGCCGGTACTTTGGCGGGTACTTGTCGCGCGTCGGGGCCCGCAGGGGCCGCCTCTCGCGCGCGAACTTGTTATATTGTTAATTGATTACCGGAGATCTTAGCACGCCTCTGGCCCGTTGGGCCTGTTTTTTTTGTATTTTGTATTTTGTGACTGTTTTTGATTTTTCGTGCAAGATCCGTCTGTAGGGGGACATGTCCGACCTAATGGTGCGGCAGCTTACGTCGTGTCGACGCAGAGGCGACCCCGCCTCGCTCGGGCGTTCGAGGTGGAGCGCCGCCAGCGATCACTCGTCCAGCATTGAGCGACCTGAGCTTTCGGAGAGCCCCGATCGTTCTAAGTCGGGCACGTCCCTCTACAGAAGGAATATTCAAAACTAGTTGAACAACATAGTCGGGGGACGTTTTTGTTTGTTTGTTTGTTTGTTTGCTTGCTTTTTTTTTTTTTTTTTTTTTTTTTTTTTTTTTTTTTTTTTTTTTTTTTTTTTTTTTTTTTTTTTTTTTTTTTCTCTCTCTCTCTCTCTCTCTATATATATATATTCCTTCATATATGTATATAATTGAGCATATTCATTTTTGTATTATATCTCCGCCCAAACCCGCCTGTAGGAGGACATGCCCGACCTAACGATCGTTCAAGGTTGAATGATCCACGCGGTCTCAGAAACCAGCGCCCGAGTCGTCACGCCACGAACCTGTCGTAAGCGTTTTTGCCGCTGATGGTTGGTATGCCGGAGGACGGGTATTGTTAAGTCGGGCATGCCCCTCTACAGGAGGAATTTTCAAAAATAGTCAAACATAGTCTGGGGACGATTTTCCGACTATTTTTTACTATGTTCCGACATGCTCCGACACTCGATGTTGAGTGAAGTTCGCGCAGGGTCGGGGGATGAGCTTCAAGTCGGCAGCGTTGCGACGTGAACGTTGTCATTGGAAATGGGCGGTTCGTGCGTTACCTGGCTTAAGTGGCAGTCTCAGTGCTACTATCAGGCTGATACGTGTCAGTGCTACTTTCCCTTCAGTCTGATACGTGTCAGGCTCTGTTTGGCCTTGTGCCTGATGCAGTAAAAGGTGGGCTGCCAGGTGACTCGTTGCGGCTGCTCGCGACTAGCGTTCATTCGGCTTTGCCTTCTACGTACCCTCCCTGTGGCCCGCTCGCCCGAATTGTTTGTCAGTGTTTCCTCGTGGCCTGTCTCTCTGTGACTCTCCGCCCACGCTTGTCGAAAGCTCTGTGTCTCTCTGTCTCTCTCCCCTGTGTCTTCCCTGTCCTTGCACCCTGGTTTCGCACGCGCGCCGCTCGTTATCTAAGGACAGCTTTGTGATCTTGGCTTGCGACGGGCTCTGGGATGTGATCAGCGACCAGGACGCGGTGGCACTGGTCTGTAACAGCCTCGGACTCGGCAAGGTCGGGGGCAGGTGTTGCATGGCCAGGGCTCCCACATCGAGCAAGTTTCGGTCGCAGCGGCGCGTCAGCAGCGCGAGCGTAGCAGCAGCTCGACGCGACGCGACGCAACGCAGAGCAAATCCAGGGAAATACCATAGCCCTCGCAATTGCGGATAAGAGTGAGGGGGTGGAGGGGGTGAGGATCGTCGGCTGTGTGCCAGTCTCGACAGCAAATGTGCTGAAGCCCGCCGCAGGCGCCGATTTTTAGTCCACGCAACGTGGGCGCATTGTGGGTGTGTTGCGGGGTGGGTCGCGGGCTCGGTCGCGGGGCGGGGCGCGGGGAGGTCGTCGGGGGGTCGCGGGGGGGACGACGGCGGCGGCGGCGGCGGCGACGACGACGACAACAACAACAATAATCCGCGTACCCAAACACCCAGGGATGGTGAAAGACAGTTCGGCTCCCTCACCCTGACTGTGTACATAATGCTTGCCCAGGCGAATATCATGTACATCCGTTTCAAAACGGAGTCGTGCAAATGAGCGTGTCGCAGGGCAGGGGAATCGTTGCGTATGTCAAGGCAACACAGATCAGCAGAGCACAGGCCGCAATTGCGCACTCGCTTCGCTTTGATTGCCTCCCCTTCCTTGGCGGCGCTCGCAAGGGGGGATGTGTGTGTGCCTTCTAAAAAGGTCAGGGGCTCCTGAAAGGGCAAGAGCCTGTTTGGAAAGTTCCCAGATGCTTCTAGAAAGGTTTCTTGGAAGTCGATGGGGCTCCTAAGAGGCCCCACGCTTTCTTAGAAGCTCCGCGCCTTCTTAGAAGCCCCCCCCCCCCCGCGGCTACCCCCAAAGTGTCCCTTGCTGAGTGCAGTCGCCCAGCCTTCGCCCTCGAGCCGAAATCCGCCAGAGACCGCCGAAGACCATCGAAGACTGCCGACGACCGCCGAAGGTCCTCCCAAGGCCGCCGAAGATCGCCAGAAGATCGCCCAGGGCCGATGGGCACGGAGGGGTCCATGGTCGAATGTGCAGCTCGGCGGGGGGCCAGTTGAGACGACGGCGGCTCGCCCGCCCAGCGCAAATCCGCTCAGCATCGGTCCCCAGACCCCCCTCCCGAGGCCCATCCTGACCTGTGTCCCCGGGCCGGGAGGAGGAAGGACAAAGGATAGGCGAAGGAGCCAGGACGAGGGAGGAGGGAGGAAGATTGCCTGAGGAAGAGGAGGAGGAGGAGGAGGAGGAGGAGGAGGAGGAGGAGGAGGAGGAGGAGGAGGAGGAGGAGGCGGAGGAGGAGGAGGAGGAGGGATGCTGAGGACCCAGGGATTTTTGCTTTTCTGTTGGCCCTCGGGGCCCGGAGCGGACCCCTGCTGGCTTTTGGTTTCGAAAGTCCGCCCGGTTTCCCTTTCCCTCCTCCCACCCCTCAACGAAGGATTGCAAAAAAACCAAGCATTGCAATCCTGGGCGAAGGATTGCAAAAAAACCCTGGATTTTTTTGCAATCCTGGTTTTTTTTGCAATCCTTCGTTTTTTTTTTTGCAATCTATCGTCGCTCCCGTCGTCGTCGTCCTGCTCCTCCTTCTCCTCCTTTTCCTCCGTCCGTCTTGGGCATTGGGCCCCAGCCCTTTCCGCCGTCTCGGCAGGCGTCGAGCCGTTCTTTTGCCAGGTGCGGCTGGGCGCGTCGCTCACCGAGCGGAGGCGCGCAAGAATGACTCTTCGCGTGGTATGGGCTCACAGGGGTGTCTCCAGCATCGGCTTGCGCGCTGGGATTTGGTCCCCCGCGGCCCCCGAAAGCCGCGCAGCAACTGCCACTCCTGCCGAATATCACTCTGTCGTGGAGCCGAACGAGGTGTCCAAGGCAGCGTCGCCGCGTCGCCTTATATCTGCCCACGGTCTGGCCAGAAATGCGTCTTTGCAGCATGTCTTGTCCGCCTCCCCCAATCCCCCCCGACTCCATTCTGAGGAGGCGGGGGTTTATCCATAACCACCGCTTGCGGGATCGATCTCCAGGGATCTCGGCAGGCGGTGGATACGGATATGTGTCTACCCCCCCCCCTCCCAGGGCCCGAATATTTCACTATCCACCGCCCGCCGAGTTCCGAAGATCGATCCCCCCAGGCGGTGGCTATGGATAAACCCCTGCCTCGCATCCATGCCTACAGTCGGAGAAGAATCAGGGGTAAGTAGAGGGGAGCTTATGCCCAAGGGGTGCTCCTCTGTGGGAAATCCCAAGCACAGTCTTGAAGGGTTGGCGCGCGGCTAGCGCCTCAGCCGCCTGAACTACTGGCCCCCGGGGGCCGTCGCAACCACTGGCCTGAGCATATAGTCGGCGACCAGCCGCTTCAAGGGGGTGATGTAAACCAGTAGGGATCATCCCCACCCCTCTAAGACCACAAACAAGCAAGGAAGGACAAGAGAAAGAAGCAGGCGATGAAAGGAGAGGGAGAGAGGGATGGAGGAAGGGAAGGATGAGGTTTCGCCCGCGCTGGCATCTTGACGGCTGGAGAACCAGCAGTGGCCCTCCAGAGGCGTGGGAATCCCAAGCCCATCATTTTTCTGACAGGCCCACTGGGCTTTCTGACGGTCCTCTGGGGCATTCTGACGGTCCCCTTGGCGTTCTAATGGTTCCCCAGGGCGTTCTGACGGTTCCCAGTTTGTTGCAACGTCTTCGGTGGGAGCCTTATCTGTTCTGACGGTCGACCTGGTCATTTCGACGGTAGCAAAGTCGTCAGGTTTCTGCCCTTTGAGATCTCGTCAGCCATACGCCCAGTCGAATCGAGATCTACAAGGATCGGCATTGCCGATATATAAACGTTCATGGTTATCTGCGAGCGTTTCCAGCTTGAAAGAACACATGAGTTTGTTTGATTCCGAGGAGTGCTTCAGGGAAACAAGACACATTGCATGGGTAACAACATGTTTTTGTTTCCTTGGCTGTTGCTCCATATCCCTGGGGATTCGAGATCTGGGCATATCACTTTCAGTTCATGAGTTGGAGTTGGCCTCTCTTTAATGTCGAGTCGAGGGTCAATCATTTCTGGCCTGTCTTCAACTTGCTCGATTGGATCGGCCCCGTGGACATGCATTCCACACAATCACTAGGCCACGATTCCGCTGCTTTCAGTATTTTGTCCTCCTTTGTGCTTCTACGGGATCCATCCTGGCCAGCCCCCCTTTCTGAACACACCCGAAGGAACAACGACGTAAACATACTTTCGTCGCTCCGCGCGAATTTCTTGGATCAGCGCTGGGCCCCCCCGGCGCCGCCCCTGGCGCGCTCCGCGCGCCAGGGAGGGGGGTCCAGCGCGAATGCAAGACATCTGAGCGGACCTCCGCCGGTTGATGTTTATGCAGTTCTTTACACCGGCCGACCGTCGGCCCCAGGAGGCCCTCGTGAGACCGAGGGCGCGGACGGCTGCCCGCGGCCGCCTTCGCCTCGTGCCCCAGGAGCCGTTCGGCTCCACGCTCGTCGGCCTGGCGCCTGCACCCATAACTGGAAGACCATAACAGGAGGAAGAAAGCTGCATGCATATGCGCGACGCAGAAAAAACGAGGTCGTCTGCGCGGACATTCGCGCGTAAGCATTCCACGTAAGGTCGCGCGTAAGCGCCCTCGTTTGCAATGTGGCGTGGCGCGCTGGCGGCCCGCGTCAGCCACCGCGTGAGGTCGCTCTGCCATCTCGTGTAAGACCCCTTCCTTCTCATCGCCCATCTATTTTTGGTGCTCCGCGCGGGCTTTGAATAACTGCGCTGAACCCTTCTGGCGGCGCCTCCGGCGCCGCGCCCAGCGTGCACCAGGCACGGGAGTCCAGCGTTGGTCCAAGAAATCCGCACAGAGGTCCCAATGTTTAAGTCGGGCCTGTCCCCCTACAGGAGGAATATTCAAAAATAGTAAAAGAATAGTCTTGGGACGATTTTTTGTTATTAATATATATATGTATATGTATATGTATATATATGTATATATATATATATAAAAGCATTATTTGGTGGGGGGTATTTTTTGTCTATTTTTAGTTTTCGTCCAAAATCTCCCTGTACGGGGGACACGCCCGACTTGACCCAAAGTTTGATGTTAATCCAGTTTTTTTCTCTTCACGACCTCCCCCGCCCCCAGCCGCTCCGCTGCGGCCGCAAGACCCTCGGGCGAGGGCCCGCTCCGCCCCGCCCCCCCCCCGCTGACACCGCGGGGTCCACTTCAACCCGACCCATCCGATTCGGTGTCGACTCTGGCCAGCCCGATCCGATTCGACTCCCCTGTTCCTCGGTGTCGTTTAACCGAACCGATCCCCATCCCCATCCCCATCCCCTTCGCGACCCCACCACATTACCGCCCCAATTGGGGGATACACCCGTGGAAACCCGAAGGGAACGACCTACATCCCCATGTATGGGGGCAAAGCGGCCCCATTGGGCTTAAGTCCGGCCTGTCCCTCTACAGGAGGAATATTCCAGAATAGTCCCAAAATAGGCTGGGAACGATTTTTTTCGTATCTTTGATTATTCAGGGTACTCTCAATTTTTCATCCAAAATCCGCCTGTAGGAGGACATGCCCGGCCTGAGATTGAGCCCGCGTTCCGATCCGATCCCGTTCCATGATCCGGTGATCACTGCCCCCGCCTCGGAGGAATGCGTCGGAAACTGGATCGTATGCCTTACCAGTGGCGGGCTGCTCTTCAATCCCAGGATCTCTTGAGGGTCGGGGACGACGTCGGGGTGGTGTGGTGTATACTTTCTTCCCCGCTTCCCCGGGGAAGCAGCGCAAACTGTGTGCACCAGGATCCCGTAATTACACACCAGGGTCCGTTTTCTTGTGCGAGTGTCAGCGCGGGGCCGGACAAAAGTGTCGGTGTATCGAGTTTGGCTCCTCAAGGAGGGGGCGACGCCGCCACCGCCACCAGCGGGGGCGGCTCCAGCGAGGGGGGCCCACGGTGCCTCCCCGAGCTGGAGCTCGGGAAGGCTCGAGGCAGAGGGCGGGAGCACGTCCCCAGGAGGACCCTCCCTGGCGCCTCGCGCTGGTGGCGGTGGTGTCGCCCTGTCCCAGGATGCACCTCCTGGGGGGCTCCTCCTCCTCCTCCTCCTCCTCCTCCTCCTCCTCCTCCTCTCCTCCTCCTCCTCCTCCTCTCCTCCTCCTCCTCCTCCTCCTCCCTCCTCCTCCTCCTCCTCATCCTCCTCCTCCTCCTCCCTCCTCCTCCTCCTCCTCCTTCCTCCTCTCCTCCTCCTCCTCCTCCTCCTCCTCCTCCTCCTCCTCCTCCTCCTCCTCCTCCTCCTCCTCCCCCTCCTCCCCCTCCTCCTCCTGGTGTTCCGCGGGTCGAGCACTGGCCAAGTGTGGCTTCCTCCAGCGGGGCCTGATCTGGTTCCATGGCCCCTCAACCCCGCTTGACAACGTTAACAGCCTTACATTCTGAGGCGGCGCTGGTATTTCCCGTGTCGAGAACTGGCCGAATGTGGCTTCCTCCAGCGTGGCCTGATTTGGTTCCATGGCCCTTGGTAACCCCGCTAAAAAACGCCCTCTCATCCTTCGTGCGAGGGCCTCTCGGGAGTTGCCTTAAGTCGGGCCTGTCCTTCTACAGGAGGAATATTCCAAAATAGTCAAACAATAGTCCGAGGACGATTTTTTGTTAGTATTTTTGGTCATTTGTTGGTTACATTGGGGTATCTGTAATCTTTCTCGTCCAAAATCCGCCTGCAGGAAGACACGCCCGACTTAAGAGTTGCCTCCTAACGGTCCTAACCTCAGGCATAAGAACACCAACACATATATTTTGCAACGTTTCCCTGAAGGCAGAACATAACGGAGAAAAGCAAACGGGGCGGGAAGCAGGCAAATGCAATATAAATCAGCATTCCCCCAAACTCGTAAACAAAAGAGACCACGTTCGAAATCACGATCTTCAACCCAAAATCTCCTTGCTCCTGCTGCCCCCCCCCGCCTCCGCCTCCGCCTCCGCCTCCGCCTCCTCGTCCTCGTCCTCGTCCTCGTCCTCGTCCTCGTCCTCCTCCTCCTCCTCCGCCTTCTCCGCCTCCCCCTCCTTCCTCCTCTCTCCTCCCTCCTCTTCCTCTCCTCCCTCCTCCGCCTCCCCCTCCTCCCTCCTCCCGTCTCCCTCTTCCCTCCTCCCTCCCCCCTCCTCCCTCCCCCCTCCTCCTTCCTCCCTCCTCCTCTGCCTCCTCCTCCTCCTCTTCCTCCTCCTTGTCCTCCTCCTCTTCCTCATCCTCCTCCTGCTCCTCCTCCTCCTCCCCCTCCCCCTCGTCCTCCCTCCTCCTGCCTCTCCTAGCCTCGCCCTGCTCCTGCTGCCCTCCCCCCCCGCGCCGCCGCCCCGCGCGAAGAGCCCGAGGCGAGAGTCTGCAGGAGCTGCGGCCCCTGCTGCGGCGGCTGGAGGCGGAGGGCCGGTGCGCGGCCGAGATCCTCGCGCGCATGCTGGCGGCCCCGCGGGGGGCGGCGCGGCGCCTCCTCGCGCGCAGCGCAGGGACGACGACGACGACGAGAACGACGACCACGACCACGACGTCGACGACGACGATGCCCACGACGGCGACGAGTACGTCCACGACGACGGCGACGCCCACCACGACCCCGACAACGCCCACGACGACGCCCGCGACGACGATGCCCACGACCGCGACCACGACGACGACGACGACGCCCACGAGGACGGCGACGACGACTACCACGACGACGACGATCACGACGACGCCCACTCCGACGACCGCGACGACGACGCCCACGACGACGACGACGACGACGACCACCACGACCGCAACCACGACGACGACGCCTACGACGACGACGACGACCATGGCCGCGACCACGACGACGACGCCCACGACGACGACTTTCATGACGACAATGCCGACGCCCACAGCGAAGCCCACGACGACGACGCCCACAACGAACACGACGACGACCACAACGACGACCACGACGAACACGACCACCACGACCACGACGACGGCGCCCACGACGACGACCACGACGACGACGACGACGACGACGCTCACGACGACGACGATGCCCACGACGACGACGACGCCCACGACGACGACGACGCCCACCACGACCACGACTGCGCCCACAATGACACCCACGACGACGACGCCCACGACCGCGACCACGACGACGACGACGCCCATGACGACGGCGACGCCCACGACGGCAACAGCGAGGACCACGACGACGCTCACGACCACGACCACGACGACCACCACCACCACCACCACGACCGCGACCACGACGACGATGCCCACGACCGCGGCGACGATGACGACGGCCGCGACCACGACGACCACGCCCACGACGACGACGCCCAAGACAACGACGACGACGACGACCATCACCTCGATAACGACGACGACGCCCACGACGACGACGACAACGACGCCCATAACGACGACGCCCACGACCACGAGCACGACGATGACGACGCCCACCACGACGACGACGTCCACGACGACGACGACGATGACGCCCATGATGACGACGACGCCCACGACGACGACCACGACGACCACGACGCTGACGACGACGATGCCCGCGACCCCGACGACCACCACGACCACGATCACGACGACTACGACGCCCCCGATTATGACGACGACCACGGCCGCGACCACGAAGCGACGACGCCCACTACGACGACGACGACCTCCTCGACCGCGACCACGAATACTACGACGCCCGCGACGACGACGGCCTCCGCTGCGACCACGACGACGACGTCCACCACGGCGCCGACGACACCCACAACGACGCCCACGACAACGACGCCCACGGCGAACGCGACGACGACGACCACACAAACGACCACGACGACGACGTCCACCACGACCGCGACAACGACCACGGCCGCGACCACGATGAAGACGACGCCGCCGACGCCGACGACGCCCACGACAACAACGATGCCCACGACGCCGACGACGCTCACGACGACGACGACTACGTCCACAACGTCAATGACATCCACCACGACTACGACGACGCCCACACCGACGCCCACCACGACGACGCCCACGACGCCCACGACCACGACGACGACGCCCACGACGGCGACGTTGAACGACCACGACCACGACGACGACGACCACGACGACGACGTCGACCACCACGACCGCGACCACGACGACGACGACGACGTCCACGACGACGGCGATCACGGCCGCGACCACGACGACGGTGACGACGCCCACGACGACGGCGACGCCCACGACGGCCACGACGGCGACCACGACGCCGCGGAGCAAGACCACGACGACGACGACAACGACTACGCCCGCGACGACGACAAAGCCCACAACGACGACGGCCACCACGACCACGACGACGCCGAAAACGACGCCCAAGACGACGACGCCCGTGACGACCACGACGACGACCACGACGACGACCACGACGCCGACGCCCACCAGGACCACGACGATGACGCCCACGGCGACGACGACGCCCACGACGACGACGACGCCCGCGACGACGGCGACCATCACGACGACGACGACCACCATGATGACGACCACGACGACGACGACGACGACCACGACGACGACGACGCCTTCCACGACCACGACGACGCCCGCAACGGCGCCCACGACGACGACGCCCACGACCGCGACCACGACGACGGCGACGACCGCGACGATCGCGATGACGACGGCGCCCACGACGGCGACGACGACTTCCACAACGAGGACGACCCCCACGACGACGACGAGCACCACGACGATGACGACGATGCCCACCACGATAACGACGCCACGACAACGCCCACAACGATGCCCACGACGACGACCACTATGACGACGACGGCGACGTCGACGCCCGCGCCGACGACGACGCCCACGACGGCGACGACGATTTCCACGACGGCGACGACGCCTACGACCACGACAACGACACCGGCGACGAATGACGACCACCACGACGACGACGACGACGACGGCGACCACGACCACGTCCACGACGACTACGCCGCCCACGATTATGACGAAGACCACGGCCGCGACCAGGAAGCGTCGACGCCCAGCACGACGATGACAACCTCCACGACCATGACCACGAATACTACGGTGTCTCGACGACGACCACGACCGCCGCTGCGACCACGACGACGACGCCCACGACGACGACGACGCCTACGGCGAGGACGACGACGGCGACGACTATGACGAGGACGACGACGACCACGACGTCGACGACTATGACGACCACGACGACGACGACAACCACGGCCATGACGATGACTACCGCGACGGCGACGACGACGCCCACTCCCACGACGACGCCCAACACGACCACGACAACGCCCACAACGACGCCCAAGACGACGACGCCCACGACGAACATGACGACGACGACCACGACTACGCCAGCCACGACGACGACGAGCACCACGACGACGACGACGATGCTCACGACGACGACGTCCACGACGACACCGACTCCCACCACGAAGACGACGACGACGGCCACGCCGACGACGACAACGACGACGAACACAGCCGCGACCATGACGACGGCATGAAGGACGCCTACGGCGACGACGCCAACGACCGCGACCACAACAATGACGACCACTACGACGACGACGACGCCCACGACGCCGACGCCGACCACCACGACGACGAAGACGACGACGACGCCCACGACGACGACGACGAGGACCATCACGACCACGACCACGACGACGATGACACCCACGACGACGACGACCACGGCCGCGACCACGACGACGACGACACCCACGACGACGGCGGCCACCACGACCACGGCGACGCCTACGACGACGACGACTACGACGAGAACTACGACCACGACGTCGAACCCAACGGCGACCAACATGACGACGCCCACCAGGACCAGGACGACGACTACGACCACGACGCTTATGACGCCGACGGCGACGCCCACGACTGCCCTGCCCACCACGACCAGGTCGACGCCCACGACCTCGACGCCCTCGACGCCGATGACGACGACGCACACGTCGATGACGACCACGACGACGACCAAGACCACGACGACCACCACGACGACGACGACAACACCCACGACGACGCCGACGACGACGACGCCCACAACGCCGACGACGCCCACGACGACGACTACGGCGACGCCCACGGTAACGACGGCGACCACGGCGACGACGACGACTACCACGACGACCACGACGCCCACCACGACGACGACGACGCCCACAGCGACGACGACGACCACCACGACCGCGACCACGACGACGACGATGAACGTCCACGACGGCGGCGCCGCTCACGACGACGACGACGACGACCACCACGACGACGACGCGCACGACCACGACCACGACGACGACGACGTCCACGACGACGACGACCACCACCACGTCCGCGACGACGACGGCGACGACGACGACGACGACGCCCACGACAACGACGGCCACTGCTGCGACCACGACGGCGACAACGCTCACGACGACGATGACGCCCACGACGATGCCCACGACGCCGACGTCGACCACGACGTCGACGACGACGACGACGACCACCTCGGCGACGACGCCCACGACGACCACGGCGACGACGCCCACCACGACGACGATGCCTGCGACGACGACGACGCCCACGACGACGACTTACATGACGACGACGACGACGCCCACAACGACGGCGCCCACGACTGCGATGACCGATGACGACCCCGACGAACACGACGAACACGATCACGACGACGACCACGACGACGGCGAGCACCAGGACCACGACGACGTCGTCCACGACGACAACGGCGCCCACGGCGACGGCGACCACCACGACGACGACGACGCCGACGACGACGACGACCACGACGACGACGACGCCCACGACGACTACGACGACGACGCCCATGACGACGACGACGACGCCGCCCACAACGACGCTCACGACGGCGACGCCCACGACCGCGACCACGACGATGACCCACGACGACGACGCCTACGACGGCAAGGACGACCACCACGACGACGCCCACCACCACGACCACGAAGCGACGCCGCCGACACCCACGACGACCACCACGACGACCACCACGACCGCGACTACGACGACGATGACGCCCACGATAACGACAATCACGGCCGCGACCACGACGCCGACGCCCACGACGACGACGCCCACGACGACGACGCCCAGGACGACTGTAACGACCACGCTCCGACGACGAGGGAGACCACGACGACGACGACGACGTGCACGACAATGGCGAGACGACTTGAACGACGACGCCCACCACGACGAAGACGCCCACGACGATGACGCCCACGGTGGGCACGGCGACGACCAAACCGACGTCCACGACGACGATACCCACGACCGCGACCACGACGACGGCGACCACGACGATGGCCACGACGACGACCACCACCACGACCACGACGACGATGCCTACGACGTCGACAACGCCCACGACGACGA